TTGAGAAAACAATCCAAAAATTCATTTGGAACAAGAAGAGACCCAGAATAGCAAAAGTAATTCTAGGCAACAGAGACATGGCAGGGGGTATTACAACCCCCAACTTGAAACTATACTACAAAGCTACTGTGGTTAAAACAGCATGGTACTGGCAAAGAAACAGACCTGAGGACCAGTGGAACAGATTAGAAACCTGTGAGACCCGCAGTCTGTGGAGAAGCCTGGGGCTGAGAGGAACGCTGTGGCACCTGGCAGGAGGAGGCTATCGGGTGCCTTTCTTCCACCTGAGCCCTGCCAGCCCCTTGTCCCTTGGACTCTGTCAGTCAGCCCAATATCATCCCAACAATCCTAGATTTCACTTATGATACCCTCACCAAGCCCACAACAAGACTGCTCCACAGTAGAAACACCATGGGATGCTGAGAAGGCCGGAAACATAAAGCCACAATCAGGGAAATGATCACTGAAATTTTTCAGAACAGAAATCTAACCAAACATATTGTGGGAGAATCTGGGGGTACATTCTGAACTAATTACCAAAGGAGACTTCAGAAACTGCTCATCAAAGCTATAAATTTTGAAGCTAAAAGAGAACATTTTAAAGCTTGCCTCCCTGATTCATTTTATAGGTTCATAATCAGCAATCCATAATTCTGAAGCTCCAAAAGGCAAATTTTGTATAAGTTTTAGGCTGAAATTCAACAAAACCTGACAAGACAAAGTAAGGCTATTTGTAGTCTCTGTCCTGCATTGTGTAAATGTTCTTGTTTCCTGACGGAAATATCACTGCACGGATGACAGGGTGCCCCCAGTCTCCTCGGAGGAATCAGATTATAAAGGCTGGGATCAGACTGTCCACACCCATAGCAACCTGGGTGCACTGAGAGGCATCACACGGTGCAAGAGCCCAGTGGAAAGGTTGCCTGCAATCTGGCCGTGTATGTGACGACAAACGCTGGAGAGGCTGTGGGGAAAAAGGAACCCTCCTGCATTGCTGGAGGGAATGTAAACTAGCACAACCATTACGGAAATCAGAATGGAGATTCCTGGAAGAACTGGAATTAGAAATTCCATGTGACCCAGCTATCCACCTGCTAGGTATCTTCCCCATAAAGCCTAAGTCATCACACTACAGCGATACATGCATAACAGTGCTTACACCCACACAATTTGTACCAGCCAAATCCAGGAAGCAGCCTATATACCCATCAACAGACAACTGGATAAAGAAAATGTGGTAGCTATATAAAATGGAATACCACTCATCTATAAAGAACAACAAATTTGAGACAGTTATAGGAAAATGGATGCACCTGGAAAATATAACGTTGAGTGAAATAACCCAGACACACAAACTTAAATACCATTGGTATCTCTCATTTGAGTGAGGCAAAGCACAGATGAAGAGAATGATAAAGGATGGACAGAAGGGCCAACGAGATGGATCTCTTGCAACAGGGAAGTGGTGCGAGGGAACAGGGCCAGGAGAGGGAGGGAAGGGGAAATAAGTAAAGATAAGCCATGTACCAAAATCTAAATAGCCTCAATTGAAGTAAACATCACATGCCAGAGCATGAGCTAAGATTAATACTATCAACAAGAATGAAAATCAGGATAGGGGAGTTAAAGGAAGGAGGGAGAGGGGAAGGGGACTAAACAAAAAGAAGAAACCAGCTGTAGTATGTGCTTGTAACCACTCCCAAGACGACTGTAAACTGCACATACTGCAAAAATGTACTAATAACATTTAAAAGAAACAGCAGAACTAGAGGGGAGGAGAACAGACCAATTGTGTATGGGACAGAGGCACAGGGAAAGACTACAGAAGGAGAGCAGGAGGAAGGGTTTCGGTGGTTGTATTCTGGTTGTATTGTTGTCACATTAATCTTCATATGCATTAAAAGTCATAGAACTTTACACTGAAAGTATGTCAGCTATCATAGAGGAAAGCTAACTTCGCTCTGTGATAATTTAAAAAATAAGCATGAGATAATGCTAACTTTGGGTGATGATTCTGAAATGAAGTAATGTGTTTATGATGTCACATTCTATTACATAATACATATTTTATGTGGCATCACTGTGTTATATGATATCACATTGTATTATGTCACATTTTACATGATACACTGTGTGTTCTATGGTATTACTTTTTATTATATATGACATTTTGTTATATATAATAGGGGGTGTGTATGTGTTTGGTAGTGGAAATTAAACCCAGGGCTTGGCACTGAGCTGCATACCAAGCCCCTATTTATTTTTTATTTTGAGACAGGGTCTCATTAAATCACTAAGTTGTCCAGACTAGACTCAAACCTGCAATCCTCTTGCCTCAGCCTCCCACAGTACTGATTACAGGCCTGTCCCACATGTCTGGCTCACAACGTTATCATTCATTACATGACGTTTGTGCTGGTTACACAATGCATGGTTTATATGACATCACGTCGTGTCGTATGATAACATCTCACTTTGCATTGTTTGTGTGATGTTCAATTCACGAAGCAGATCACATTCAACACAGAGCTTCACCACAGATGAGTGCTTACATTCCCTACTGCTTCCCTTGGAAGACCTGGCATCTATTTTGCCCCCGTTCCTATCAGGAGTGCTATTGTCACTCTCAGGAAACTGTATTCTGCTAAAATAGATCCTCATCAAACTTTCCTCTTACTCACCCCAATCTATCATGATGAATAAGCAAACGCATGGATCCCAGGACCCTCAGATTTAACCATTTGTATACAAACTGCACAGAACCTAAAAACAAAACTAGATTTAAACACAGAAAAGAAATAATCTCCTCAATCACAGATAAAACAACAAACTCAAAAAAGATAAGGTCTCTTTGTTAAAAGGGTGGTCTTCCTAGGTTAAAATGGAATATTTCACAGAAACTAAGATGTTTTAAGTCTATATGAAGATATGACTTTAAATTTTAAAAGTACTTTTCTGTATACAAAGCCAAATGTTAGCAAAATTACAAGTGAGCTTTTATATATTTTTAGTTTTCCAAATGCCTGTACTTTTTCAAGTACAATCTTTAATAAAATAATCTGTGAACACCCGGAAGAATTCTCTAATAAACCTCTTTGCTCATAAAACACCAGTTTCACCGTGTCTGTTTAACTACCGGTGGTGACCACTTAGCATTCTTACACTAGAGTTTATAATACAATTACACTATGCCTGGGTGTAATTAAAATAATTACATGGCAGCCATTTCTAGAGGTAACCCACCAAAAACAACAAAAATCGTGACACTGTTAACAGCCAGCCTTGGCATTTCTCAGAACTTTGTTGAGATGCTGCACGGATCAGCTCTCGGGTGTGGATAAATGGCACCTGTCAGCCCAGGACCAGGCCAGGATGCCTGGCAAGTCGGGTCTGAGTTAAGGCAGGGAAATAAATTGGAAGAGGCTGTGTGCAATTACATGAAGTGCTGTCAGGGGGATATAGAAATGTGGCCTGGCTTATATAAGGCAGAAAAGGGAACCATTCCTAACCTGAAGATATCTAATGTACCCAGCAACCTGAGAAGCATGTATGTGACGGAAATAACCAAAGCTGCTTTTCCATCTGTTCTACAAAGTTAACAGCCTTTGCTTCCTGCTGCACGAACATTCTCCCCAGGACCAAGTTTTTATAAAAAGAGGACATTTTAAATGTCTCAGCAGAACCCACCTTGGGGGGAAAACCAGGGGTACAGCTCTGATCTAAAAAGACACCCTGACACCGCCTCGAGTTTAACTTTCTCACAAGTCTACACTTTTGTGTGTGGTGGGTTTTGCACGCTGCTGTTGTTTTGATTTAAGAATGACACCAACTGAGATCACTGTGGAACCGGTAAGGAAAGTCCCCAAGAAGGGGAGCACGGCTATGGAAAGTGAGAAATACCCCACTGAAAAGACCACGTCCCAACCTGGACTCGGGGCTGAAGAAAGGGCAGCAGGCTGAGAGCTGAAGTGTGGAGAACGTGAGGGAAGAGAAGCAGAAGGAGAAGGTGGGGGACAGGTTTTGCTGCAGGAGGAAAGTGAGCTCAGCCGGATGAGATGAGCTCCACCGAGCTCCTGCAGTTCCCAGCCCTTTCCCTGACAGTCTGTCACTTCATGGCCAGGTCGTGCGGCAAGGAAGGTAGCACAGGCCTTGGTGGTGTGACTCCCTTCTCTTCCTGAATCCGTTTCCTGACAGGATTATCGAGTAAAACAGGATGACAGTACCAACCTCATGTGCCTTCCCATGTTGAACCTGGAGGGGCTGAGGACCCACAGCACTGAATCAGCGAGAGCCAAACACACCCTCCCTCCTTCAGCAAAGAGGGACAGAGCACCAGCTGGGCTTGCGTCTTCCTCACTGCACTGGCAGGTACAGCTGGCCTTGGGAACTTACCCTGAAACCTTCCCGTTCAGGCTGTGATATCAACTGCAAAGCCCTTCACAGAACGTTAGACTCACCGAGATCGAGATGAATGCCAGGGACAAATGAACTGAGGAAGAATGTGAAGATAACAAATCCCAGCACTGTGAGGCATTTGACAAGCAGGATCCTGTCTGATATCCTGTGCTGAGAGAGAAAAACAACCCACTTACTCACTACAGAGTTCTGATTCCTGCAATGTGTCATAGTTCTACACCACTCAATTATAAGTTTCTCATTAGGATGGAAATTAGAACATCTTGAACTTAAAAGAAGGTAACAGGTAATGCATTACAAGGAGAACCCTACAGATTAAGCATTCAAAAATGGTTATAAAAATAAACGTCATAGATCTAAAATGCAGTACAGCCTTTTTATGAAACACTAGACCAACTCCTCTTCAATATAACATGAGGTATGCAGCTCTCCTGGCCTTGCCCGGTGTTAGGTGGGAGGTCAGCAGACTTTGGGAGGTGATGAATGACCTCCATGGGTGCCAATGCAGTTGCCAACTTCAGCCCAACTTTCCTGTCCCTACTAAGCACAGCACGGGGCGATCAGCTGAACATATTCTTGGGCTACCATGGCTCAGGCTGTGTTTGTCTGTGCCGTGCTTGCAATGACGGTGGAATGCAGGTCTAAACTTGGGAACCAGGAGAGTAACAGGGCTGCACCTTCTCATCTGACCCTGACCGCCCACGTGGGAGAGAGTGTGTGAAGAGAGCTCATAAGCCCAAACCCCCTTTAAAAGATGTAGTGCCCAGCAGGACCCCAACATCTACATTTCCTTCAGCAAATGACAAAATGTTCCTACCCTAATTAGAAAGTGACTGTTTCATCTCATTAAAAGAAATTTCCTGGATTTGAGGTTGCACTCAGGTAAAACCACTCCCGGCAGATCTTGAGCAGAGTTCTCTGCGCCAGGAGAGGGGCCCTCTGTGTCCGTGGCCACAGCAAGAAGATGAACAGGACCTTCGAAATGAAAGAGCTTTGTCCCTGACGTCAGACCGTGCGTGCGGCAGGACACATCCTGTGTCTGACCCTGGAGCTGGTCCCTGCCTGCAGCAGCCTGCTCTCCGCAGGATGGGGACAGGAGCCTCTCTTGCAGTGTCAGGGGAAGCCAGTGACCACACCTCAGCTCAGAGCTCGGCCCAGGATCTCCCCAGGGGATGCCTGAAGGGCATCTTCAAGGGATGTAAGAACTGCAGCGTTTCAATTTCCTGACAAAACAAGCCTACTGTGTCCGGGGAATGTTTTCCTCCTAAACTCACAGAAATTGACTCAGGTACAGAAATCAAAAGAACAATGTGTATTCATTCATAACTTCATCCAAGGTTGAGAGAGAGAGATTTTGATATTTGTCCACAAAGAAACGGTAAGTGCTTATGGTGATCACTACGCTGTGATTTGATCATCCCAATGCACACATGTGTCCAGATACCACACTGTATCTCATAACCTTCTAAAATTAGTGTGCTAACGAACAGTCATCAGCATAATAAAATTTTTTAAGAAAAATCAATCACTCTTCTACAAGAGGTGAATCCAAAACCTCTGAGCAAAGAACCAACATACCTTTCTTTGTAGCTCCTGGATATTGGTCTCCCAATTTTTATCTTCCTGTGAGATTTGTCTGAAAGAGACGATGACAGCACATCAATCCCTGGGTACATGAAGCAGAGAGGAGTCGGGGTGCCACCGACAGCCTGAGCCCGGATGCCACCTGTGATGGGGGCCTGTGCAGCTGCATGGGGACACAACAGCCACAGGGTGACTGGGGATGTGGGGGCTGCCGCTTTGGAAACACACTCTACATCCAAACACAATGTATGCAATTACTAGGGTGCTGGAGTGTGTGTGCGCATGCGCACATGTCAGGGCACGCGCATGGGAAACATCCAGAGCACGTGCCAGTGTGTGAATGACCACTGGGAATGACCACTGCCACCTTCTCCCTCTTATGGAGTCCTCCTTTGTTGTTCATGGGCATTGGCTCCAGGACCCCTGCCAATACGGAAACCCACCAACGCTCCCAGCCTTATTATCAAGGGCACAGTACTGCCACAGAACCTGCATACACCCGCATCGTGCTTTAAATCTCTAGATGACTTACAATACCTAGAGCAACGTAAATGCCATGTGAACGGCTGCTACACTGTGTTGCTTAGGGAAAGGTGACAAGAAAGAAAAGCCTGTACATGTCCAGTGTGAACACAATTTTTTTAAAAATGTTTAATCCACAGATGTTTGAATCTGCAGATGTGGAAGCTACAGATGTGAAGTACTGATTTTACTTTCTGCTTTTCTGAATTTGATTCCAAAATGGGGACATTGTACTTCTACAACTAACTTTTACAACTACCTAAACAAAGTGGTAAAAGAAATGCCCCTTGCTCTGACGGTAGTTTTTATCAAGTGAAGATAATTCTGAAGAGCGGTCGTGCCTGCGTCCTTCCTTCCGTGTGGAGCCCTTCTCTGTTCGGGACCCTCCCCGCTGCCATTTGCCCCCGCTTGCCTTCCCTTGCCTTTCCTTTTGACCTTTCCAACTCAGCCCAGCTTTTCTGTTCATTTCTCCCAGACCAGTTTCGGAAGAGATGCTGAGCAAGGGAGAAGGTCTTTTTACTGGGCTTCGAAGGAGAGAGCCCATGCAGCCAGTCGGGCCCTAAGGGGCATTAGAGCAGACCTCGCCACCCAATGAGTCTGAGGAAAACTTCTTAAAAGAAATTAAAAACAAATCCTGCAGAGCAGCAATGGCCTCAGATGGATCATTCCTCTCTGCCCCTCAATGCATAGTGGCCTCGGGAGCCAGAGGCCCTCCCAGGCCTAAGTGTCCCTACCTGTGACCAACACAGGCTAGCCGGAGGGAGCGCTAAATCTCTGAGGCCCACCCCTCCACCTTGCAGCCTGAGCCCCACTGGCCAGGTGATTTACTCCAGCAGCTGTGATTCATTAAGAGCGTCTCCTTTCGGGTCTTCGGGTCTGTGCCTGCTGTTAGTTGTCAGGGCACCCCAGGGTCTGAGGACAGAGGTCCCACTTCTCTAGCGTTACTGTGCTGTGGGCTCCAGGCCAGGATGGAGCTGATACTGTGGAGGCAGAGCCTCACCCTAGGCCAAGCCTCTGGATCCACGCTGGCCTGTGGCCTGCTCCTCTGGGGGCCAGCCCTGGGCACAGTGTCGAGGGACGACCAGGTAGGGTCGGCTCATTTCAGCAATTTACAGCAGCAAGGCCACTGTCAAGGCCACTCCCAAGACTCACTGCTGTCCCTCAGCCTGGGGGACTTCTTACCTCCACCGCTTCCCACTTGGCTGCAGGAACCTTTCAGCACTCCCGGGGCTCCTACCAGGCTCCAGAGTGACCACAGGTTGGTGCTCAGCACCTTGGAATAGTGAGGAGCAAACCTCACCAAGGCTCAGTTGCTTTTAGCTTTGATTAAAAATGAATGCCAAGAAATGAATTGACTAAAACGTCTCTACACTTCGAAGAACCTGACATCAACTACTGAGAGCGTCTTATTAGAGAATTCACTACAGCCAACGGCCTGGATTCCTGCTGTACAACAATCACCACGGGAGAGGTGGGGTGGGCAGGCGCGGGGTGTGGGGGGGCCCTTCAACCAAGCCCCGACCTCACTCCTGCCGAGCTGTTGCTGGGGAGCTGCTCCAAGTCTCTGAGCCTCGGTCTTCTCCTCTGCAAACCGCCATACCAACCCGCGGGACAGGTGAACATTAGATAGAACAGCGCACCGTGGCACCTAGCACAATGAGTAGCGTGTAACAATGCCGCATTTGTGCACGGCCGTGCACTGCTGTGTGCTGCCATGTGGGCTTGGACAAATGATCGCTGTGACTCACTGGGTTTGTATTGTGTGACATCGGAACACTAATTGTGTGGGGTTGGGATGATGGTTCACGCAATCCCACCCTGCACAGCCAGGGAAGACGAACTCAGGGTAGGCCTGGCAGGACCCCTCCAGGTACCTCCGGAAGGTGTGCAGCCTCCGGGCCAGCAGGTGCTCCAGCGCCAGCACCTTCTGCAGCAGCAGGCTGCGCACAGCTGTCTCCTCGCGGCTGGCTGGGCTGATGCGCTGTGCAGTCAGCCGCCACACGTGAATCTCGTGCTTCAGCTCTGCAGAGAAAAACAGCAAAGCCTGAGCCTCCCGGGCCTACACGCCACACATGCCGACCGGGCACCGGTAGCCAGTGTTGGCCCAAGCAAGGGGTTTCCCAGTGTATGAGCTACCGTGATGGGACAGACGCCAAACCAAATTTTAAATTTCACATGGAAATAAAGTAATGCAACTTCAACTCTTTGGGTGAAGAATAAATCCCTTCCTTGAAGAGACACATCGAAGCTAGTACCCAACAAACCCATGCCCCTCTTGCAGGCCCTGCTTTCAGCCAAAATCTAGACATCACATGCCCGTTGGCAGCCTCCTTTGTGTCAGATGCAGCAAGAAAGCCCTCACCAGATGCCGGTGCTGTGCTCCTGGGCTTCGGCCGCCCGGACAGTGAACTAAGTGCACTCCTGGCCCTTTCAGCTCAACCAGTCTGCAGTATTCAGTTCTAGCAACAGAAAGCGAATTAAGCCAGCTGCCCAATCTTTGGATGATTTCAGAAACAGATCACGTGAAAACCAGAAACACAAGCGTGATTCTCAGCCAGTGGCCCTCCAGCAGGGCCTGCAGTAAGAAGCAGGAGCTGGGAAAAGCTCTCCCTCCCCGTCAAGCCCCCACCGGGCCCAGGTCTGTGACACAGGCAGCTTGTTGGAATCAGTGAAGAATTTCAACCCTTACTGGATCCAGACGCCGTCTATAGAGAAGAGCACAGAGACGATTTGTCAATTCGCCACCTCCTAAGGTTTCAAAACATCCCATGAAAGCTCACATTTAACCTCTATTTTACAGTTTCAAATACTACATAAACTTCTCCAAATAATCATTAAAAGAATACAAGAAAGCACAGTATTTTCACGAACCACTCTGTTAGTTTTCCATCACCGTAACAAAACGCCTGAGATAAGCAACCTATAAAGAGGGAAAGTTCACTTGAGCTCACGGTTTTGGAGGTCTCGGTCCATGGCCGTTGGCCTCTTGCCTCTGGGCATATGGTGAAGCAGTGCCAGGAAGCAAAGAGAGAGAACAGACTAGGGTCCCAACACCCCCCCTCAAGGACACACCCCTGTACCCTAATTCCTCCCACCTGGCCCCACCCCTAATGGCTGCACCGTCTATGGATAGTGCCAGGGGCTTCAGCACACAGGCCTTTGGGAGACATTTCAGACCCAAGCTACAGCACGCCTGTGACGTGCAAGGCGTCACACTATGTATCACAAAAAACAAAGATGAAACTAGAAGATCAAAGCCTTTGGAGCAGGATAGAGCACCCAACAACTGCCTCAGAGCAGAAGCAAGACACAGCGATGCCTCAGAGACCTGTGAGCAGCACAAGCATACAGGCTCAACAAAAAATAAATAAAAAGAAAACCAAACAGCACCTTTTAAGCCCCCTCTATTCAGCACACAAGGGGCGATCACTTCCTGTGTGGCAGACCTGCTGCAATGCTGAAAAGGCAAAGACAGGTGCATCAGATGGACTCAGACTGTAAATGCAGCCCACCAAGATGTGCAGCAGGAGACCCGGGACAGGACGGGAGCAAGGAAGGATTTCAGCCAGCACAGGACTTGCCCCGAAGCCTCAGCCTTACGAAGACACACTGTGGCACACTCAATAAAAGGGACTTGGGGGTGAGTCATAGTCCTCTTCAGAGAAACGGATCCGTGATTTCTTCTGAAAAGTCTCACACTTCACTTAACCACCTGTGAGCTCATGATAGCATAAAAGAATGAGGAAAAAGAGAAGGAGGAGAGAAGAAGAAAACCCAATGGCCTAGGCACCTGAAACTGAACACAGAAATGCCGTGCTGGGACAGGAATGGGTAGACAGGGCTGTGGATGGCTTCGGCCTAAGTTCAGACAAGGCCAGTGCTGAATTCAATGTTCTGACCTCACTGCATCAAAGGGGCCACCGAAAGCTCATCCGTGAGGATCAGAGGCTTCCCAGCCACCCTTGAAGGGCATAATGGCGAAGGGCCGCTTTCTGTAGCCACCGATCAGCTGTAAAGAGCATACATGTCCACAGGCTCAGCTCAGGTGCCAGCCTGCGGGTACAGGCAAGGAGGTCCCAGCCCATCCTTGTGTTTGGATAAGCAGAGACGGGGCCAGGCAATGCCTGTTATGCTGCCTCCCAGGCCCCTGGGCTCTCCGATGCAGGTGGATCCTCAGCGGCAGCCTGAACCCCTTCATGCACACCCAGGGCCTACCCACTTTCCAACTACCAACTCAGAGGACAAGCAGTCCTCTGTGGCTCCGCCTGTCACCAATGCTCAGCTGGCACACTCCTGTTTTCCTAGCTGCAGAATGAAACCCGTGGTGCTGAAGGAATTTAACCGGGAGAGATTTTGCTCAGGAGAAGGAAGCCCACTGTGTAAAGCAGGACTGTGGTCACTGGTCCCAAGCATGCAGCATCTGCCTGGGATAGCACCTCCTGGCGTGTGTGGGAACCTCCCCTGGGGAGTGAAGCAGCGTGCCAGGAACAGGCCTGAGGCTGCAGGAGGGATGTGCATACTCACCAACAATCTCACTGGGCTCCTTGTTATAAAGCTTCTTGTTCCAGTAAAGGAGTCTGAGGAGTGGAAAGGAGACCAAGAGAACAAGACAAATCCCAACAAACATGTGTGCTGTGAATCTGGCAAAGTCCAGGCCCTGGGAAGAGAAAGGGAAATGAACAGCCGATGGGCCTTCTCCTCTGCACCACCGATAGCGGAGGGCTGAGGCCGGAACAGGCAAGAGGGCACGAAGGGGACCTGGGGGCCTTAGGTGGAGGACTCGGAGCCCTGCACTGAGTCCAGGGCAGGGCATGGAGCCCTCAGATGACTTCACAGCGCTTAAGGTTGGCTTCTTTCATGCCCCAGACCAATTCTTACATGAGTGGCAATCCCAAGCCATCTCAGGAGGAAACAAAACCAGGCCATCACATCACTCTGACCGAGGCTCGGCTTGGCCCTCCTGGGGTGGCGAGGTCCGTGGGCTGTCGGTGATAGAGTGCCCCGGGAGCAGGAGAGAAAACTTTAACAGGTATGCCGACATTGGGCTACTTAAAGCTAACCTGGGATTTGTAAATGTTTCACTAAAGTCTCTCCCTGATCCGAGGGACTGTCTTCCCTCTGCTGGGCACCATGAGGGTCGAGGCCACCAGAGCATCAGCACCTGCCACGCGGGCCCCAGGCAGCTGGCCTCCCATTCTTTGCCTCCCCTGCTGCCTACGGAGGCGTCTGCCACGATCACCATGAAGAGGTCTCTCCTACGGGGCAAACCCCCACTGTGGGAGTAAGTCAGCGTCTGCCTCAGTTGGCTTTGTTCTTTCATTCACTCTGCGCCCTTGTATCTCCAGCGAGAGTGATGAGTCCCTCGCCCGGCCCGAGACACAGTCACCTGCGAGGACTCAGAGAGCCCATGACCATGGTGCCACAAAGAGGGGCCACAGCGGCAGAGTGTGACCGCCACTGGGCCCAGGGCATGAAGGAGCACGGCGGCGAGCAGTGCGGTCACAGGATGGGAGCAGGAGAGCCACAGTGAGGCAGGGGCAGAGAGAGGCGAGCACACGGGTGGGCGCGACCTGGAAACCACCCTCCAAAGTCCTGGATCGGCAAGTGGTTTAAACTACGTTAACTGTTGTTTATTAAAATGTATTTGTCCCCTTGCTCTAGAAATGATCCAAAACCACTTACAGTAAGTCCCCAACCTACGAACTTTCAAGCTGTGAACTTTCACAGGCACAAATGAACCTCGCATTTGGGTTTTTTATGCTTTACATTGTACATTTGTGTCAAAGGTGTGTAAGACTCATTTTGTCCGACTTATGAACAAATCTGACTTAAAAATGTTCTCCTTGAGTGGAAGTCCTTTGTAAGTCAAGGACTTTCTGCATAACATCGCTAAAAGTAAAACACTACTAGAAGTTGTGCCAAAGTTTTGGGCTTGCCAATGAATGCTCATCTGAAATTCTCAATCTCATAATTATCCGCATAGCCAATAACAGGGAAAGATAAATATGAGACTCTTAGAATGCTTTGAACTGTCATACAAGAATTCACTACATTTCTAGCCAGATGTGATGTTGCCTGCCTGAAATCTCAGCACTCAGGAGACTGAGGCAGGAGGATCACCAGAAGTTCGAGTCCAGCCTGAGCTACATAGCAAGACCCTGTTGAAGGCAAGAGAGAAAGAAAGAAAGAAAGAAAGAAAGAAAGAAAGAAAGAAAGAAAGAAAGAAAGAAAGAAAGAAAGAAAGAAAGGAAGGAAGGAAGGGGGAGGGAGGAAGGGAGGAAGGAAGGGAGGGAAAGAAAGGGAGAGAGAGAAAGAGGGAAAGAAAGAAAGAGAATGCACTATTTTTCTGACAGTTTATATAATTCACTGAGTCCTTCAATGATATACAACTTTGTATTTATCTATAAAATTTATAACCCAGATATCTGTTTGTGAACGGTCTATGATACTTTCATGTGTTCATGAAATGTTTTAATTTCCTCTAAAATCACAAGCAAAAAAATGAACTTTTGGGCCAGAGAGTAAGGTTAAAAGTATAATATTAGCATCTGTCTTTTTACCAACTGGGTCATGAATATAACTGTTAATATTTCTTAGGGTAAGTGACCCATGAAGACAGAAGTATTTGTAACCTGAGTTTTGAGTCAGCCTGGAGTGTAATATCTATAAAGTTTTGCCCATTAGAAATGGCAGGCAATTGAAGGAAAAATGATGAGGGAATAAACAAAGAAGAAAAGGCCTCAGAAGGTCCTGGGAGTGCAGCCCCAGCAAAGTTACAGTGCTGAGCCAAAGGGCTTGGCTGCTATGAAGGTGTGCTGGGTGAATTTATCCAGGAAGAAAAATGCCGAGTGGAAAAATCCGAACTGTTAATTGTGAGAGACAACACAGGCCGATGCAACATATGGTGGGAGAGACTGTTTTCACGGAGCCTGGGCCTGGCCTCCTGCCTCATGCACCCCTGACTTCCAAGACACCTGTCCTTGATGTTCTCAGTAACAAAATCGACTAAGCATCACACCTCAACACGGGGCCCAGACGCAGCCCTGACTTCTCGCAAGGTGCTGCTTCCACTTTGGCCCTTCCGAGTCTTATTTTGGGCTCCATTCAGCTGTTGTCTTCTTAGTTTTCCACATTGTCTTCATCGGATGGATTAAGTGGTTCACCGTTCAAGCATGTGCAATAACCAATAAAGGACGTGCTGGGAAATCAGATGAGAACATTCCTGGCTTCATAAGCTGCAGGAATTTATGAGGATGTGGCTGAGGAACTCCTGGCCCACTGGTATCATTTTCTGGGAACTACACCTCTAGGCTAGCTCTGTGACAAGTCAAATGAGTCCATTAGATTGTAAGGGCAGTTCAAGCCAAAGTGGATTCCTAAATTCTTCTAAGTGAAAAACTCAAGAAATGCTTACACAGTTAAGCTGAATCTATTGAATGGTTTGATAAAATACAGAGTGTGATTTGAAAATAGAATCCAGTCTGGACCCTCAGTAAGGGAAGGAAGGACACAGGTGGGGGGACAGACAGGAGAGGCAGGTGTGGCTCACACTGCCTGTGGGTGACCCAGCAATGCATGTTGCAGGTCCTGCTGCACCTGAACCTAAAAAGAGGCAAGAACCTGCTGCACACATTGGGGTGGGAGAGCCCAGCACGCAGGAAACACAACAAGCCCCAAGGTGCTGGCCTCCTATAGAGAACACCGGCCCAAGAGGGAAGGAAGGGAAACAAAGAACCCAAGGCCATAGATACTGAGAGGCACAGAGGTAGAATACTCACAAAGGACACTAAGCATCCAGGAAACAGAGCAAGAGCCACAGGGTGGCACTGTTCAAACTGCCGCCAACAGAGAATGGAGGAGAATGCTGTCGGAAACCAGCTCGAAGACTCGGTTCTCTGGGGTCATGGATTTGAGACACTTCGTTTCTAATGTAAGTGTTTAGGGGTACAAATTACTCATTAAATACGCCTGGGAGCAGAGATAAGTGGGCTATGACTCTCAAGCTGGAATCCACAATACTGGCTACTGCTTTCCTCCTCCAGTGACAGAGCTGAGTAGGTACTGCATGGGCCACACAGCCTGCCAGCTGTAACACGGACTTCATGGCCCTTTAGGAAATGTTTGCTGGCTCTTTTATTTTTTTTTTAATTCTATAAAAGAATTTATTGGAAGTCTGCATTGAGATATTATGTGTTTACATTCACTTTGACAGGAATTCAGTTTTTCGAAGTTAACTGAGCCCGTTTTAAAAGTTCATCTATTTGAGTCTTATACATATTTTTTACATCTTCAAGATCAAATCGAAGTTCTTCTGCTTCTTCTGCTTTTTCTCCATACATGTGCAAAATAGTGTTGTATCTTGATGCAAATCTCTTAGCTGAATTCGAACTTTAGGTATCTCCTTCACTTTTTCTTCAAGTTCGTCATTTTGATTTGTTAATTTAACTAGCTCTTCAGCCATTATTGATTGAGCTTTTTCTACATTACCAATTTCCAGCTGTAAATGTGCAATTTCCCCTTCCCTTAGCTTTAGCTGAGACTGCAGGTTTTCAATAACACTTGACCCTGCTCCCATCCTTACAGCATCGTAAAGATTGCTGCCACTCGCTGATGCAGACATTGGTCCAAATGAATGATCATGAGACTCATCCTGAGACAGAAAAGATGTTTGTAGCTCTGCCATATCAACTCTACTTATTGAACTCGAGCGTGACAAGGTGGGAGTACTAGAAACAGAAAATGGCTTGCGTTCTTTTTCTTTTATTGCTTGAGTGAAAATGGCTTTCTTCCTCTCTTGCTCAACTTTCATTTTCTCCATTTCTAATTAACTACTCAACAATGTCTTTTCTTTCCTTGTCTCTTCAAGTGTTCTTACATATTCATCTTTTAGGTTTTCTAATTCAACCTGGTATGGATTATTTTCATCCTCCAGTTTTCTTAGCTTATTTTTCTCTGATTCTAGCTGGGCCTGAAGTCTACTGTTTTCCTGTCTCGAGAGAATTCTGTGATTCCATGGAAGACATCTGGATTTTGTTGGCAAGGAGTTCTTCTGTAGCTGCACGTTCTCTTTCAACTGCTGCTGCCAACAAGGTCTGGGACTCACCAAGCCTGTCAGAAAGATTCTTCTCCAACTTCTCCCACGATGATGTCCGGGACCCTAGGGTTGCTTGCAAATTTTCTATTTGTCTAAGTAATGGTCTTGTTGTTGATGAAACACTTTGACTCAGTTCTTGATTCCGATTCTCTCCTTCCTGGAGTCTCTGCTGAAGTTCACGGATCTCATGTCGCAGATAATCCTCTTTTCTGGCAGCTGCTTGTTCTGCACGTTGCAGTGCTAGTCTAAGGTCCCCTACTTGAATTGCTAATGTTTCTTGCTGCTGACGGGCTTCTTCTTGGGCTTTCTCTACTGCTGCAGAAAGTTCTTCTTTAGCTTTCATTTCACGACTCAGAGCTGGTTCCTGTGCCTCACTATCCTTTGCAGCATTGGCTTTGTGAAGATCAGTAAGTTCTTTGTGTGCACTATCCAGGTCAGCCTGAATACTTCGGTTCTTTTCTTCGAGTTCATCCATGTCTACCTGAAGTCGACCAAGATCTTTCTCTTGACGATGTACTACAGAATTTAGTTTTTTAGTATTTTCTCTATGTTGCTTCTCAACCTCTTCTTTGCCATCAAGGACCTGTTTTAAATGCTGTAACTCCTCTTCTAGCTCTTTAGCTTTTTTGTTGAGTTTTCTGATAATGTTTTCATTGTCTTTATCTTTAGTTCTCAGTTTCTTAATGATGTTAGAGTTATGTAACTGCTGCTTTGAAAGCTTTTCACCCTCTTCCATTAGTCCTTGAATCTGTTCATCTTTCTCTTTCAAAAGATCTGCAGTTTCACTATTATTTAATCTAATGGCAAGTTCTTCTTTTATAGTTTTGATTTCCTTTTTAGCAGCATCTCTCTCTTTGCAGGCTAGCTGAACTTTCTTTTCTGCTTCTGCAATTCTTTGGATAAACTCGTCTTTCAAGGAAGAAATGCTACTGCTTTCTTCTTTCACTCTGAACATTTCATCTTTTAGGTTATCATAAGCTTCTGAAAGTGCTTGTTCATTACTAAGAGATAATAACTGAGCCTCCCTTTTTTCCAGTCTCTCATTCAGAAGTTCAACTGTCTTGCAAACATCTTCCTTCTCACAAAGTGCTTCTGGCAGACTTTCAGCAGATTCACACTGCTCTGCCACCTTGTCCAAGACAGCATGTCCTTCATTCATAGGTGTAGAAGAAAGCAGGGTATCTGGCTGCTCACAGTTAACAGGAGTTGCACTTCGCCCACTTTCTTCCATTTCTGCTTCTTCAGCAGGTATACTTAATGTTTCATTTACTTCTTCTTCAGGTTTTCCTTCAATAGATTCAACTACTTTAGTCTTTGGGGTTGAAGGATTAACTATAATAGGCACTAAAGCATATCCCTTGCCTGGCAGTTCATGGTCTGAGCTGATTTCACTGACACTCTGGCTATCTAATGACTGTACACTAAATGAGTCTATTCTTTCAAAAGCATCAGATGAGCTGCAGTTCTCGTTTAGTTTCTGGAAATCATCTAAATGATTATGTCCAAGGCAAGCAGATGCAGAGAGAAGCTGGAAAGATATCTGCATCAGGTGAAGACTTGATTTTGCCTCTGTAGTCTCTTACCTTGAACTTGCTGGGCTCTCACTTATAACACTCTTGTGATCCAAAACTTCAATATCACTGGTGGCAGAAGCACCTGATGACAAGGCACTAACAGCAGGAGAAGAAGTATTGCTCTGTCTGTCTTCATGTTTTTGTTCCTTAGGTTCCAAAGCCACAACCTTGGTTTCTGCAGATACAGTTTCCGTAGTTGTCTTTACATTAGTTGTGCTTTCAGGTACTTTCAAATGTATAGCTGGCACCTTCCTTTCAGGTTGCTTATTAACAGTTTCTTCATCCTGACCTTCAGTTTTAGGTGATAGAGTATCTACTGGCAGACTTTGCTCTGATACACACAAAGAGTCCTTCACTTTTGTTTCAGTTGTTCCAGTAGTTTTTGACTGTACAGTATGTAAAGACTCATGTAAGGTGCTTTTCACTTCTTCTGGTCGTTGTGATTTAGCTGGAGGCTTTGATACCACTGGACTCTTCGGAATGGTCTGGACATCCATTGGAGAGAGAAAGGCACTGAAGAAGTTTTCGGATTCAACGACTACAGTCCTCCAAACTGGCTTTGTAATTGCCTTAGGAGAGGCTGTTGGTGGACTCTGAGGTTCGGTGTTTGATTTCAACCCGCAGGTTGAAGTATCCCATCCTCCATTGACAGGGGAACTTATTCCCACTCTCCTGGCTCTTGTTTTAAGGAATCCCTAAAATTTTTATATGTTCTGTTTTTCCTGTAATTCAGTTCAAATTTGCTATATTTGAATATATTTGCTATATTTGCTATATTCAAATTTGAATCTACTCCCCCAAAAGAAGATTTAGAAAATTCTAATGACCAAAGAATGATAAATAAAAATGACAGAGATCTAACTTTAACTCTTTAAAATGCACAAAGAGGGGCCGGGAATTTAGCTCAGTGGTTCTGCTGCCTGCCTCGCAAGCGCAAGGACCCAAGTTCAATCCCCTTTATTTTATTTTTAAAATAAAATAAAATACACAAAGAGTACATTTGCAATCTTTAAAATACAGACAATTAAGTACTTTGTTTTTATTTCACTGTATGAAAAACTACCTATGAATAATTATAAGGGCTTTCAAAGAATTTGAGACCTTCATTATCTGATTCTTGCAACAGTTTAAATTCTTCATCATTAAATTCCTCTACCCGAATTGAGAAGGAAATCCCCTAGCTCCAGTAAAAGAGGACAGGTCATTTTGTTCTTAATATTACAAGAAACTTCCATTCCTGTTGATATAATTAATATAATGACCAAACAGATCACGTTATCCAGTCATTTCTTTTAAAAGTTACCAGCCTGAGAATGGCATCAATGCACCAACAGAGATGGAGAACTCATCACCCCGGCCCATGCCTGCGGTGGGCATGATGAGCAAACCAAACGGTGCTCCCCATGGGAGCTGAGAGACAGGATGTCTAAGGCAGGGTGCTGAAGGTTGCTAGCACACTGTCAGAGTGGTCAGCAGGCAAGTTGGGCCAAGGGCTAAGGAACTGAGCTCCAGACCCTCATCTACTGCACGTACCATCTTCCTCAGCTCCTGGTTGGAAACGATAATGACATTTGGTGGGTCCCCAATGGCAGTGGCAGCTCCTCCAATGTTTGTGAAGATCACTTCCGCAATCAGGACTTGTCTTGGATCAAGGTTGAGCACCTCACATAATCTATCACGAATGGAGGAAAGTGAAAACACTATTCACACACACACACACACACACACACGTGAGAAGGGCCATGCTTGGGGCTGAGCAATGCAGCGACACCCGCCAGCTACAGCTGACTCTGAGAATCCCACTTCTTCCAAAATCCAACCCACCGCCCTTGAAACATAGGTGTGGTGACACACGCCTCCAGCCCTGCCCTACATGTGTGAGGGAATGCCATCCCCTCCAGGCCCCTGGTGGAGGCCAGGGCCTGGCACAGGCAAATGGGACTTGGCCACCTGACCCCTCCAAGTCAGGGGAGGGGCAGAGGAGAAGTCGCTGGTGCACACACCAAGCCTGCTCACTTGTCCTTGACCTGCCCTCTGCGCTCTCCCAGGCCCCTCCCTTTAACCACCAAGTATTGACTTCCTCCTTTGAGAAGGAGCAGGGGCTGCAGCTGTGGCTTTGCCTGCAGCAGACCAGTCCCTGCAAGGGGGCCCAGCAGCATCACTCAGCCAGGGAGGCTGCATACACAGAGAGAGACTCTCCAAAGAGCACAGTCCTGTGCGGAGAAATAGATGCACCTTGAGACCATAATGTGAAGTGAAATAAATCAGACACACAAGTGTAAATATCACATGGTTCTCTTATACGAGAAACCCCAAGTGTAAATAAATTATAGAGCAAAATAAAAGGCAGATGATGGGAAACAGGGAGATAAACCTTTTGTAAACGAGAAGGGGACCCAGGGATGGAGGGAGGAGAGAAGGAAGAGAGGGGAAGGGACAGTAAACAGAACTAGGATGTGTTGTGTCCACACACCAACTCCCCATGAGGAGTGTAATCATGCACTGCAAACATACCCTAATAAAAATTAAAATATTTATGTATCACATCCCAAATCCTGCACACCTGTTCTTCATCCCCTGCTCTGCTTCTCGAACCCATGCCCTGAGCTTTCTCCTCTGTCATGCCCTCTGCTGTGCCGCCCTGCTTTAGAGCCAGGAACTAGGGACTGAAACCTCTACAAACTATGAGCTAAAAAAACCTTTCCTCCTTAGAGCGAGGGTGTCGGGTTTTGTGTCTCAGCGGTGAGAGAGCAACTAAGACACCGCCCCTCCTCCACCACACCTGGGCAGGAGGTCTAGTCCTTCGGTGAAGCCCTGCTGCAGCCCATGGCCTCCTCACTGCTGCCTGCCTCAGCTCAGAACAGGGCCAGCCACCAGCCTCCCCTCCATCGAGGCAAGGGCAGACAGGCCCAACAGACCTGGGACACTGGGGAAAAGCAGAGCCTGGCCGCCTGGAGCAGGGTGTCTCCACTAATGCGCAAAAGACCTCAGGCAGTGCTGCACGCAGTGTGGGAATCTCCCAGCATCTGTATGGAGCACTCAGCAATGCCCGACAGCGGAGACTGCATCCGATCCACACAGGCCTTGCTGCCGAGCACTAAGGACTGGTGCCACTCTGTCCAAAGACAGGAGATTGATTGGTGACTACAAAGTCCTGAAGAGTATGGTGGTATAAACAGTGACTCTTACACCACCAGCACTTGAGTCTATGTGTGCGCGTGTGCGTGCATGAGTGTGTGTGTGTGTGTGTGCGTGTGTGCGCATGTCACTGGGCATGGGATCCAGGGAGCACTGAGATACATTCTAACCCTTTTCTTAAAGTTTGAGACAAGTTCTTGCTCAAAGAAGCCAGTGCCGCTGGTCTGAATGCAGTGAAGGCTGGGCTCTGTCCGCCGCCCCTGGTGCCTTTGAGGAGAGAACCTTGAGCCAGGTTACAGCACACACCTGCCCCGAGCCGGCGGGGACGCTCACAGGTGTCTGCATACCTTATTGTTACAGGAGTGAAGAGGAGCATCGTGGTGACGTTGTCCAAGAAGGCGGAAAGGACAGCAGCGATGAGACACAGCATGATGATCATGGCCCATACCCGCCCCCGGGAGAGTCGGTACGCCTGGTGCACACACGGGGAAAGAACAAGCCAGAATCAGCGTCTCTAGAGGACATTCTGTTCTTCACTGTGGCTCCACAGAAGAGGGACCTAACTAAACACTGTGGGGGGGGTTAAAGCTGAGACCCTCCGGAGTCCTACACCGGCTAAGATGAAGTGCCTAGAGATCTAAGTCCACCTGGGCTGTGTTTTCTCTTCTCTCTTCCGGATTCTCTGTCTTCACAGTGTCCAGAAATGATTACATTTGTTACAAAGTGTGAACCGTCAGTCTCTTTCCAGTCACCTGGAATTTGATTAACAGCCTGGGCTGCAACATTTGGGATCGAAGTGACTTTGGCATCTGCTCATCTCTGGGGACCCAAGGGATATTTTTAGTGTCACAGATTGGGAGAAAGAAGCCAGGTATGTATCTGTAATGTACAAGATGGCACACAAAGTGACAAAAATTACAGCATGGGTCTCTTATTTGGAGTTTGCAAAGAACTCTGTTGAATACTTTACTTTTAAAAGAAGATTTCCATTCCAAAAACAATACCGAAGTCAGCACCAGCCTTGGCATTAGCAGGCCATGGCAGGCTCCCCTCTTACCAGCCAGGCCCAATGAAGCCAGTACACACCCTGGAGCCAGACCCTGCTGGCAGAACACACCAAGGCTCCAGTTAAAATCGCAATTTAAAACCAAAATGAGACATCATTTCACATGGGTTAGAATGGCTTCATCAAAAAGATGAAACATAACAAGTGTTGGAGAGTTTGCTGAGAAAAGAGAACTCTTACACAGTTGATGGGAATGTAAATTAGTACAACCATTACGGGAAACAGTATGGAGGTTCCTCAGAAACTGAAAATGGAACTACCACATGACCCGCCACCGGGCATCTATCCACAGGAGTCAAAGTCTCTGCACTGAGGGGACACTTGCACTCCCATTCACAGGGAAGGACTATTCATGACAGCCATGCTATGGAATCAACCTACATGTCCATCAGCAGAGAATGAATGAAGACAATGTGGTACATATACACCATGTAATACTGTTCATCCACAGAAAGGGAACAGGGACGCTAGCCAGGTGTAGTGTGCATGTCCATCGTCACAGCACTGAGGGAGGCTGAAGAAGGAAGATCACAAATTCCAGTCCCACCAGGCAACTCCTTATGTCAGAAGGAAAAAGGAAAAGAGATGGGAATGTACTGCAGTGGCACAGCACCCCTGGGTCCAATCTCCGGCACCGCAGAAGGTGGGGAGGGGTTCCTGTCATTTTCAACAACATAGATGGACCTGGAATGCATTATGTCAAGTGAAATGAGCCAGGCACAGAAAAACAAATACCGGATACTCTCACTTAGAAGTGGAATTTTACAAAGTTGATCTCGCACAAGTGGAGAACAGAGGTGGTTACCAGAGGATGAAGACTGGTAGGCAGGGAATGGGAAGATGTTGGTTCAAGAGTACAAAGATGCAGATAGATGAAAGGAATAGATTTTGAAAGTATTGCACAAATACAGTGACTATACTTAATAACATGTAGTATATATTTCAAAATAACTAACAGTAAATTTTAAATGTCTCACCATGAAAAAGTGTAGGTGATCAAAATGATGGAAATAGTAATTAGCCACATTGAAATAATACCTTGAATACACTGATTAATACCTTGAAACTTCCACTGTACCCTTTAAATGTGTATGATTGTGACCGCCAATCAGAAACAATTCTCAGAACGGAGTGGAGCTCAGTGGTAGAGCACATGCTGAGCATGCATGAGGCCCTAAGTTCAATCCTCAACACCAAAATGTAAACTAATAGATAAGATCCTTAAGGGATCTATAAAACTAACATTTTCCCCCTCTTTTAAAAATGGTGAATGTATAATGTTTGCATTACACCTTGAGAAAGTAATCATCACTGAAATTCTTTACCAAAAAGCTAAGTAATCAGAAGCCAATGGCCTGACATATTCAGAGATCATAATATACAAAATGATGCTCAATGTGTGGCTCTCACCAGCCAGCTGGAAGGATACGCAGTCATTCTGCCTCAGTACTCCTTCCTTGCTCTCCATCTTCGTTCATTTATGGAGAAACTGGAAGTGTTGCTCAGAGCCATGCTTAGCATAGCAACTACACACAGCCTTGTGAAAGCAATTTTGAAAAAGGTGGAATTTTAAAGTATTTGATTTAATTAAATGATACTTTAATTTATAAAATGATGAATGTATCAATTAATTAGCACACAACTATTAAATGCACATCACACCTACCTTTACAGCACAATAATCAAAAAATCCAGTTTCTGAAAATATGGCTACTAATATCATCTAGAGGGGAAGAGAAAAAGGAGACAGAAGGTTATCTCAGCAGAGTATTGTACGGAAACGTCAGAGCTACAGACCTGGCCTCTGAAAGCTACACAATCAAGCTCCTGGATGTCTTGCTGAAAGATAAGTTTCTTAATTATCTTTGTCCACTTCCTTGGTTCTTGAGTGGAGCCTCTTGCAAGCTGCTTATATTTTTGTCCAGGGACTTGTCTCTAAGGTATATTATCATCTCATTTAATCCTCACAATAAACATCATATGTTATTATTACTCTCTGTGTTTCCATTATTACCCCTTGTTTTATAGACTAGGAAAGTGAGGGTCCAAGAGGCAGGTGATTTGCTCAGCAGCAAAGCTGGCATCGAGGAGGAAGCGGGCCAACAGGAGGCTTCCTGCACCTGACCATCTACATGAGCAACACTGACACATTTCAAGATTTTACAACTGGGTTAGATTTTGGTTCCTAAAGTAATTGAACTAATTTTTTGCTGCCCATTTGATCAAGATATGCAAGTAGGGTGACCGCACTGAAGTGAGTACCCTCCCAAATCGGTATGACCCAGAACTTGTGGATCTACTGATGAGAATAACTTGCTGTAAACAACTGTCTACACTACTAATAAAAAGTAAACACCCAGTTATCCTGAATTTAAGCAACGACCAGCCTAAACTTGCTGAAAGATTTTCTACTCATCCGAGGTAAAATACATCATTCATTTAATTTTTTTTTCAGCTTATCATGTCTGCTCTGCCTCCCTTCCTCCATGCAGACGGTGAAACCCTGCACTTCTCAGGGGCAACACAGACACGGGTTCCACCGTGAAGCCTGAGCTCAGAGCTCCATTCTCCCTCCTGTGCTCCACCCACCCCACCACATGCTGAACCTAAGGAGAAGATGCAGGTTCAAGCACTGGTTTTGCCACTTAGGAGTAACTTGGCCTTGAGACAAAAAATTTCTTAATCCTTCTGAACTTCAGTTTTTTTATGTCACCTCTGAATGTTTTGTACCTTGCTAGGTAGTTGCAAACATTCAATGGTGTAAATTAAATTAACGTATTCCAAAATAGCAGGCCCAACATTGTCTTTCTAATAAACTATACCACAAAAAAAGGTATCTTATCTAGCACAGCCTTACTATTCATCCTAACCTGAAAGGCTGCTGTGGGGCTGTTTGCAGAATGTGTGCTTCACACACCAAGGAATAGCCACACGGGTGTGCATGAGCACACAAACATGTGTGGAGGCCTTTGTGTCCTTGTGTTGTGAGGGGAGCTGTTCCCACACAGGCTGACAGATCTCCCAGGAGAGACCAGGACCCAGGGGTTGGGGCCAATGACCCCATGGCTGGTTGACTAACTGAAAACAGGGTAAAAAAGGAAGAGAACTGGTTATATATATATATATATATATATATTGCATCCCTATCATTCTAGAATTATAGAACCTGCAAGTGGTTGGTGAACCAATTTCAATTAAGCAAAAAGTACTTTAGGCCATTTCTATGGGCTGAATTGTCACCCACTCAAATTCACATGTTGGTGTCTTAGCCCACAATGCTGACATTGTATGTACACTTGGAGGTAGGGCTTTAAGGGGGTAATTAGGTTAAAATGAGATTATTGGGGAAGACAACTAGTGACCTAAAGCAGTATGACCAGTGTCCTTCTAGGGTAAGAAGAGAAGGACACAGACACGTTTGGAGGGAAGGCCCAGAGGACACGGGGAGGAGACAGCCGTCTACAAGCCGAGGAGAGAAGCCTGGGAGGAGTCCAACTCCATCCACACCTTGATCTCAGGCTTCCAGGCTCCTGGACCTCCTGAATGGTGGGAAGTCAGTGTTGCTTGTCACAGTCACCGTCTGTGGCACCTTATTATGGCAGCTCTAGCAAACTAACACATCACTTATTTAAAATTTTTAAATCTTCCTTTCTTCCATCCAGATGCCCAAATCCTATATGCTTCTCAGTACTCAACAGAAACATTAGTTCTTCGAGGAAGTCTCAGATCAGAGTGTTGTTCTGCCTCCCCTTCCACAGGAGGTGGCAGCACCACTTGGAGTCACACGGAAGCACAGAGTAGTAGGATTCTCCATGTATCTTTCAACCCCAGGAGGGATCAAATGCTAGCAAGGGTAATAAGGACATGCAGTGACCTGCTTTATGTACAGTGAGTTTCAGGCCTAAGGAGACAAACTCTCTTTCAGATCCCCTGGACTATTCTGGAGTCTGTTGAAGAATGCATGAGCCATTCCCACTATTGTCTGGCCCTTGCCAAATTCCACTTGTTCTAGCTTAATTAGTTTATGATGAATGTTCTACACAAATCCACTTCTGCATTTAAGTTTGATTCATACAAATTGACTTGGTCACATTCCTCACAGTACATAACAGAATGGCCACTTGACAATATGATAAATTAGCAAACATAAAAACTGTCAGAGACAATTTATTCCTTTATATAATTAAAAGTACTTTTCCAATCACTGAAACTAATATACAGTCCTCTTATTTGGGGATATGCCATTTTTTATTTTAAGAGTAGTAACTTTTTAAAAATGCTAACTTTTCTAAATGGCAATCTCATTTCATTGTTCCACAGATTTTCAACTGAAACTCTCCAGCTAACTAATCAAAGCACCAGTCATTCAATTCTCTTCTAAAGAAATTAGCTGGGAAAAAAAAAGAAATTAGCTGGACTTGCACTATCATTTCTCAATCAAGCTCTAACTGTCAAGAGACATAGCATCTTTAATATAATGATAGGATTATGAGCAGCGGCAGCAAAAGAGAAGGACCCAGGTTTAATCAGCAAGCTTAGGGCCATGTCCCACTGGGAGGGCTATAATTACCATGCCAAACAGCAGGGTCAGGGTCTCAAAATCAATCCACTCCACCACCTGGGTCAGGCTGGGTCTCTGAAATCAAAGCACAAATTTGCTAATTAATCCTGTGACCACCTTCCTGCGGATAATCTTGAAAATGTGCTGCCCTTTACTATAAATGCATTCGTTGGACCAAAGTTGAAAACACACCAGCTGCATGCTTTTGAAATTGGATTATATCATTGCTGAAAACATTTATGACCTGCTGCATCTGTACTATCAAACCTATGTAGTAACATAATTTTAAGAACCATAACCTTACCTCTGGAAACTTTTTAGGAAGAACTATTGCCCAAATTATAGGATTGGCCCTTAAGGATAAGGCTACAGTTTGGAACAAAGCCCCAGAGGCTTGTTCCCCAGATCCTGGTGCTACCGGGAAGTGGTGGAAGTTTAGGAGGCCACGTGGCAGGAGGTTAGGCCATGTGGGACATGAGCCAAAAGGGGGCTGTCTCTTCCAGATTCCAGTCTCTTCCCTCACTCTCTTTGCTTCCCAACCACCACTAGCTAGGCAGCTCCTCTGCCACACACTCCCGCCAAAAGGTACTGCTCACCACAAGCCCAAAAGCAAGGGGGCCAACCAACTATGAACTGAAACCTTGAAAACTGTGAGCCAAGATAAACATTTCTTTTTAAATTGATTATCTCAGATATTTTGTTGTATCAACACAAAGTTGACTAACACAGTTATATTTCTAGCAGAATCCACATATGCCTTTCTCCTTGTAATGGCGTGAGGCCACGTGACAAGCACTTGAATAGTCTTCTGTCCTACTCCCATGTATCCCAACTCTTATGGTCAACAACAGTGGCAAACCTTTAAGAGCTTTCAATGATACAGCTTTCTGTGGCACATATACCATAGGTTCAACACCACTGGTCTAAAATGCCCCCCAAAATCCTCATGGGTGTGAAAGGTAACTGGATCAGGGAGTGCTATACTCATCAGTGCATGGGTTCATAGCAAACATGATGTTAGCAGGTGGTGCCTGGTTGGAGGTGGGTCACTGGCACGTGACCCAGAAGGGTGTATTCTTGTCCCTGGCTCTTCCCTTTTCTCTCTGGTTCCTGGCTGCCATGGCTTGAACAACTTTCCTTTGCCATACTCTTCCACCATGCCAGGGCTGCCTTGGAGCCAGCCTACCACAGACTGAAACTGTGAGCCAAAATAAACTTCTTCTCCTTTAATTTGCAAGTGTTGAGTATTTTGTCCCAGTGACAGATTTTGGTACAGGGGAAGTGGGATTGTTGTTGTGTCTGTACCTGACCATGTGGTTGAGAAGCCTTTGGAATTTGTTTGCAGGTATTTAGAAAGGTTTAGAAAAGCAGAGAGGCTAGAGAATCCTTAGAATGTCATGAACAGTGGTTGATGTGCAGTACTGTGCAGAGTTTAGAGGACCAGAGTACTGATAGAAATGTAGACAGTAAAGGCCAGGCTCAGGAGGTGTCAGTTGAGAGCAAAGACTCCATTAGGAACAGGACTAAAGGACATGTGTGTAATGCCCTGGAATGAAATTTGGCTACATTTTGCCAAAATCATGAGACTTTGTAGGAGACTGAGTTTAAGGGTGGCAAACTAATCAGGCAGAGGAAATTCTGTTGACTTCTTTTAGCCAGATCAACTGTGAAAATCAGCAGTGAAAAGCCCATTTGAAAAGTTTTCAGTTTCACCAGAAAGGAAGCTCCTGGAAAGTTAAGGCAAAAGAGAGCATAGCTGCTGAAAAGATTAGCATTAAAAGAAGCCAAGGACTTTGCATCAGGAAAAAGGAAAGATGGCTTGAAGGTATTTTAGGAATAATCAAGACCCTGCCCTTTACAGGCTCAAGGGTGCAAAGCTATACAGCTTTTATTTGAGAAGAGATCCTCAGGGTGCTCTGCTCATTCAGGGCCACAGAGGGAAATACTTCCTGCAAGGTCACCCATCCAGGCACTCAGTGGCTATTGCAACCATGATCTCAGGGAGCCTGCCCATCTACTACTGCTTGAGCTGGTGGCAGATCTTGGCATCATCCATGTGGTGCTGGCTTTTCAGGTATGCAGGAGGCAAGAGTTACAAGGTCAGGGAGGCTTCTACCCAAATTTCAAAGGAAGGCCTGGAGGCCAGGCAAGAATTCCTAGAGAGGTCACGTGTGAAGCTGTGAGAGTGAAACCAAAAGTGTAGTAGAGATCCCAGGAAGTTGGATAAGCCAGGAATGTGGATTGCCATCAATCCACAGTGAGTGGAGCTATTCCAAAAGGGGGCCCATGAGGGTTGCAGCTGGCAATCTCAAATGAATGGGGCCACCCAAGCCCATTGGTGCTCATATCTCATCACACACACACACACACACACACACACACACACACACACACGATGAACAGGATTTAATGCTTACTCTGCTGGGTTTCAGTTTTGCTTTGGTTCCACTTCTTTCCATTCCCCCTTTTATCTCTTTTGGAATGGGAATGCTTACCCTGTGCCATTGTATGTGGGAAGTATTTAATTTTCTTTTTTATCTTTATAGGGGCTCACAGCAAAGAGTTTGCCTTGAGTCTCAGAGGAGACTTCAGACTTTGACTTTTTAGCAACTAAAACTATTAAGATTTTGGTGACTCTTATAAATGGACCAAATGCATTTTGCACATGAGAGGGACATGAGACTTTTGGGGATTGGGTTGGAGTATTATAGTTTAGATCTAGAATGTTCTCCCAGACACTCAGGTGTGTTAAAGGTAAATGGATCATGGAGGTGCTAGCCATCGATGGATTAACTTACTGATGAGTTCATAGCTGAATATCATGTTAGGAGGTGGGTCCTGGTTGGAGGTGGGTCACTAGGGTATAACCTGGAAGGGTGTGTTCTTGTCTCCAGCTCCTCCCTTTTCCCTCTGCTTCCTAGTTGCCATGGGTTAAATAGCTTTCCTCCTTCATACCCTTCTACTAAGCCAGATCTGCCTTGGAGCCAGTCAACCATGAAAAAAAAAAAGCATGAGCCAAAATAAACCTTTCTTCCTTTAAATTACAGGTATTTTGTCCCAGAAACAGGGGTCATAAGGGAGCAGAGAGTGAGAAGTGAAGAAACTTCCAGGACCTGGATTTTGAAAAAGGGCATCCCAGCAGGCAGTCCAGGGCTTTCTACAGAGTGTAACTGCCATGTTCCATATCAGTGACTCTCAAAACAAAACAGATTACTATACTCTACTCCTTGATCATGAATAAAAACAACTATAGCTTTATGCCTAAGTTTATCTTTAGGATTAACGTTTGTTTTTTTTATACCAACAGTGGCTAAGAATAAGCTCAAGTTATTACTTTCAGGCAAGGCCTACATTCAAAATTTAAATTAAAAAATCATAACTAACTCAACTTGCCTCCCCAAATAGGTCTTTTAAACTAGTTATAATTCTTGGGTTGGATGAATAGCCTCTGGTAGCAACTTTTAGAACAATCCATCAAATCCCATAGCATTGTTTTCCAATCCAAACCTGTATGTTGTCACATGTGGAAGGGCTCTCAGTTCAGTTCCAGCATTACCTCTCAAGTCTGGCCCCTGTTTCCAGGGGATACTTGGCTTCTCTTATTTCTCTGTATGTATTCCCCATGTCTCTGCCAGATGGGCCACACTCAGGCTCTGACGGGACACTGTCAGCCCTACACATGCATCTCCGGAACCTCTTGATGTCTCCAAGACAGAGCCCCAACTGCCTCTCATCTCCCACCTCTCGGCTCCAGCTTGGACATCTTAGTGTAGTTCCTGAGAGCTGACAACACTAAATCTAGCCTCACACTGCTGAGCCACAGACCAGGACAAACACATGAGTAGGGTGAGGCTTTCTTCAGCCAAAATGAGGAGTAAAACTACCTAGATGTGCATGTGTAATGAAATCAAATGAAAAACATTCGTCAATGCTATTGTTTGTTAGTTTATATCTCTAAGCATGGTTTGGGGGCAAAGACATGGAAGTAGCATATAAAAGAATTAAAAACACCAAGTGCAGCCCAAGTCCCAGAATGTCTCTTGGGTCTGATGTTATACCCAGTGGTAAGCCATTGATTCTGAACATTGCAACTTACATCACCGATCACAGCCAGAGCCGCTAGTGCTGCGAGGGCCCCCAACATGGCTGCCAGAGTCCTGTGGACAATCTAGAAGGAAACAGGAAATGATTTCATTCTAGTCCACACACACAAAAGCCAGTATTGACACCAATATCTATGCTGACTATTGTATGCCATGCTTTTAAAATAATAAAGAAGTCAGGGGTTCAGTGTTTTGGTTTCTACACACCTCACAGACACCCAACCACCACTCCTCCTTGGAATGGAAGCTTTCATCCCCTGAGTAATTAGATGGCCCTGACAAGGCAGTAGAAGGGTGGATAGTGTGTTCTACAAGGTAACCTGCAGAAAATTGTCATTAATTATTTACTGTATACTCCCCAGACAACTGAACCATTAGTTCAACAACATAAATCAATTCTTCCCAATTACTAAGACTGCTATTATACCAAAAGCACACAAACGCTTAATCTGAGACTCCAGTATTAATGCTACATCATAAAAGGATCTTTTCTATTTAACTATAATTCAAATGGATGTGAAATTTCTAAGACAAACTATGAGGAAAGGCAAAGATATGGAGGAACTGAACCCCTCATACATTGCTGATAGGAATGTATAATGGTATTGCCACTGTGGGAAAGTCTGGCAGTTTCTTTAATATAAATTCACCTGGTAACCTCACAATTGCACTAGGAATCTACCCACCAGAAATGTAAATGTGTATCCACATCATGTATCAAAACTGAAAACATCCCTAATGGATGTCCATAGTGAACAGATAAATTAATGTGACATATGCCACAACATGGAATTTACACAACATGGAACTTTGTAATAGATAAATTAAAAATGTGCTAAATGAAAGAAACCAGACACAAACACTTGTATATTGTATCATCCCATTTATAGAAACTATCCAGAAAAGGAAAATTTAGAAAAAGCAGAGTTTCCTAAGACTGGAGGTAGCAATAAAGACTGACTAAAATATAGGTCCTTAGGATCTTTATGGGGCTATAGAATATTCTACAACTGGATCATAAAGGTGACAGCTGCAAAACTCTAAATTTAGTAAAAATAACAGTGCATTCCCAAATGGTGAAATTATGGAATTAAGTTACACCTCAATAAAACTGATAAAAGTACAAAAGGAATGTGGTGAGACTGAGTACAGAATTAAACATCAGCAGACAATATTTATTTATTAATACCATAAAATGATTTTAATTCAATTATTTTATGGCTTCTACCTCACAGAACCTGGCATTCTTATTAGTAATTACCTGAAACTCAAATTCTGAATAAAATCATTTCATTCATAATTTGTATTTCTAGATTCAAAGCTAATTTTTACTTAATTTCATAGCAGGTATTTGGTTTTTCACAATTTAGAGTTGGTATTTTTTTTAAATAAAAATATCTAAGCACTAATACATGGCTACCAAATTCTGATAATTCCTTCCATTCATATTTCAGTTGATAAAACATTATGATATTACTTTCTATTTGCTGCTTACATATAAGAAAGGTAGCCCTAGGAAGCAGCAGGAGGGAATCCACTCTTGGCCCTAGAGCTATGGAGACTGAAGCTGATGTCAGCCACAGAGCATGAGCCATGGGCCAGAGCCAGCTCCACCCTCTCAGCATCCACACCCTACGGTAACACCCTGACAGAGTAAGGTGAGGACAGCCCGGCTTGGATGAGTCTTCGATTCTTATTTTAATTGTTTTGCATTCAATGAACACTTCATGAGTTGAAATATGAGGACGGGCTTGTAAATATGGACTTCAGAGGAAGGGAGGTGCTACAGTTCAGATGTATTCTCCAAAGAGCTCATGTGTTAGAAATCAAATCCCCAAATCCCCATATCAATATTTGGGGCACAGCCTATGAAGGTGCTCGGGTTAGATGAGGTCATGAGGCAGAGTCCCACGACACCTTGAGTGGCTTTGTAAGAAGAGGAAGAGTCTGAGCTGGTGTGCTTGTTCTGTCCCTCCAAGTGAAGCCCTCTGCCATGACCTGGTGCAGCAAGAAACCTTACCAGAGGCCAGTACCATGCTCTTGGATTTCCCACCTTCCACAAGCATGACCTCTATATTTTGTACATTACCCAACCTCGGGTATTGTGTTATAGCAACAGAAAATGGGCTAAGAGGGGAAGTAAAGGCTTTATGGAGACACAGTAGACTGGAGACAGAATTCTCTCTGTGAATCTCTGCAATCTCAACCTATTGCATGCTCCTTTCTTCCAACCTAACCTTTTGGTTGGCTTCATTGGGAAAGGAGTCTTTCAGTAGCGATCTGACTGTTAGTCATCACTGGTCAGCCATATAGGAAAGCAGCAGAAATAGCTGACTTTTTCATTGGCCACCTAGTGTGTACCTACAGGCACTTATTAAATGCTTTACAGATCTTCATATCATGGACTTTTCACAGTGACTGATGAAGTCGAAACCACCATCACAACCCAAGACAGGGAGACCAAGTCTCGGAAATGCTGAGTCACTTTCTCCACGTCATAAAGCAAAGAAGATGCAGAGGCAGGCCCAGCCTCTTCCTACGGGTGCCTTCTCTCTATTGGAGACATGGTGTCCACTCTTCTGTAAAGCCAGAAAACTACACCAAGGCCTCAAGGGGCTCTCAGCTCTGGAGGAGACCCATGGCCATGCGTGGAATCAAATCCTAGTGACTGATACACAGATGAGCAGACATTTAAACAAGAAGTCACAGCCACAGCAATAATCTACTCATCCACCACCACTCTCGGGACAATGAGTGACAGGTCATGACCTCACCAATCACACAAGCACCACCACCAAGCTCACCAAGGCCACTGCCACCATCAGCTCCTCTCTCCTCTGGACAGCACACTGGCCCTCTATGCACATGCTAGCCTGTAGACAACCCACTTACAAACATCTCTCAGACATGTGGACACAGCCGTTCCTTGCTAAGAGACCCAACTCTCCCATCAAACCTTTCCACTGGCTGGAGCCCCACACATCACAGAAAGGAGAAATCTCTTCCCATTGAGAACATGATGACCAGGGGCTGGGGCTGTAGCTCAGCAGCAGAGCACATGCTTAGCACGAGCAAGGCACTGGGCACTGGGCTCATCTCCGGCACTGGAACAAAACAATGAATCAGCCTCAGGTAGGTGGAATCAAACCTTTTAAACTAAATGGTCTCAGAAGATGAGATTGCTTTAGGTGATTATGTACATCCCTAAATTACTACGATGAGGAAAAACAACTTCTCAACTATGAGGAATAATTAAAATGTGAGATGGATCAAAATGCCAAAATCAATAAAAATGCTTAAAAGATGTTTTGAAGGATAGCATAAAGTCCTCTTCCGATATGTGTGTTAGAAAACACAGCATGCTTCTTGCTGCAACCAAATCCCTTCCAGGACACAGAGAGTGATGCTAGCTTCCCAGGCAGCCTGGCAGCGTGTGGCCGCCTTCCCACGAACTCCTCATCAGCTGAGCCTACACCAACAGCTCTTATTTCTTTAACAATATACAGGCTGAGAGCGCCTTGAGGGCATAAAGGTAAAGTACCTCCCTCGGGTTCTCCTCACTGCTCTGAAAAACAACCAATACATGCTGAGCAACCAAAAGCAGAAGACTAATGAACAAGGCTGCAAGTAAAAGGCCAGTACTGCTCCCTAGGAGAGAAGAGAGTCCTAGGACAGCCCCACAGTGAGTCATCTTTAAAATTATCCAGAACACCACCAACCTCCATGCATCTGCCCTCCACAGTACACACAGTGTCAGACATTGACAAAGCAGTTCTCACACTCCAGACATGGGGCCTGCTGAGGAAATCTAAAGAGATGTTCTGTGCAAATGGTAACCAAAGAAATCAGAACTAATTTAAGTTATATCAGACAAACTGACTCTGAGTCAAACCTGACTCTAGAGACATTATATAATGATAAAAGCTTTAATTCAACAGGAATATAAAAAAATTATAAATATATATACAGCCAAAATTGGAGCATGTAAATATACAAAATAAATGTTGACAAACTAAAGTGAGAAATTGACAGCCATGCAATAATAATGGGGGTCTTCAATGCTTCATATGCAAGAATGGATAGAACATTTCAGACAGAAAGCCAGTTTAGGAAAAAACAGTAAACTTGAATGATGCTGTAGACCTAGTAGACCTAACAGATATATATAGATAGATAGATGATAGATAGATAGATAGATCTATATATTCAGAACTTCCCACCAACAGCAGCACCAAAAGCGACATTCTCCTTAAGCACACACAGAACATACACAGGATATGTGCAACATATAATGTACACAGGATAGAGCATATGGTAGGTCACATGCAAATATTAAATTTTAGAAGGAGGAGATCATATTGATTATCTTTTCTAAACACAATGGTATAAAATGAGAAATTAAGAACAAGGAAATAGGAAGAAGATTCACAAATATTTGAAAATGAAATACATGCTTGAATAACAAATGGTTCAAAAAAGAAATCAACAATTATCTTAAGACCGAAATGGAAATACACCACACCAAAACTTATGGAATACAACAAAAGTATCTTAGAAGAGGTAGCAATAACAATGCCTACACATTAAAAAAAAAAAGAAAGATCTCCAACAGCCTAACTTTACATCTCAAGTAAAAAGGAAAAGAAGAACAAATTAAGCCCAAATTTACAAAAAAGGAAGTTATTAGAATTACTGCAGAAATAAATGAAATAGACTAGAAAGGTAATTGAAAAGATCAGAAAAATTGAGTTGATTTATGAAAAGATAGAATTGACAAACCTTCACTACACTGAGCTAGGAAAAAAAATGAAATAAATAAAATCAGAAATGAAAAAGGAGACTCTACTACTGATACCACAAGAATACAATGAATCAAGAAGCTACTATGAATAATTATATGCCACAAATTGGATAACCTAGAGAAATGGGTAAATTCTAAGAAAAATTCAACCAACCAAGGCTGAATCAAAAAGAAATCAAAAATCTGAACAGACCAATACAAGTAGGGAAACTGAAGCAGGAATCGGGACCCTCCCAACAAACAGAGGTCCAAGGTCAGGTTTCA